CAGTAATGATGATGATAATTCTATGCAAGCAATATTATCAACTACAATTTCAACTTCAAATTCAAATGTAGAGTTAGGTGATTTTAGCAAATATTATGATGATAGTGATGATGAAAATGAAGTTGATTTGTATTTATCAACAAAAATACAAAAAGATGATAACTTTAATATTTTAGAATGGTGGAAAGACTATCAACATGTTTATTCAAGACTTTCAAGGCTTGCTGTCTATTATCTTTCAATTCCATGTTCCAGTGCACCTGCAGCTGGACTTACAGTTAATGAGCTTCGTTCAAACTTAAATCCACAAACAATTGATAGTATTCTTGCATTAAGAAGCTCATTATGGTAAATTTTTCTTTCTTGCAATTAACAATTGCAGTAAAAGTTACTTTTTAAATAAAATCGTGTTACAACCATCAGGAAATTTCCCGCCGCAATATTACGTCCATAAATTTTAATATGTAAAGTTGTAATATTTGCATAAAAAATTATGTAATATTTACACTCGATGTAATAATTGCATAATTTTTGTATGCTTATTTGCATAATATTACGGGCCCACCGTAAACTTACGTAAATAGTGTGATTACGTTGTTAATAAAAAACGGGATGAGTTCGGGTTGAAATTTTTATAATTTTTTGTGTACAAGTCGGGTTTGAGTTGAGATTTTTATAATTTTTTATGTACAAGTTGGGTTCGGGTTGGGTAATCATTCAATTATGATGACCCATGCAGGCCTCTAATGTGTACCATTCATCCGCTGTGGCAAGGTTTGACTATATTGTGGAATTAACTACATGCTGTATATGATTGAAGATATTTAATACTACTATTAATTATTTTGAATTGATAATACAGTGTGTAACAAAACTTTTTGGAATTTTTTATTTGTCCATAGCTCAAAAGTTACCGCATAAAAATGAATGAAAAATATGTCAAAATAAAGCTTAAAATCTGAAGTTTTTATTGATATAAAGTTAATAGTTTATTCTCTCGCCATTGTTCTCAATTATCATCTCACATCTCCTTCTCATTGAGCTGACAAGATTGATTAGAATATTATTTGGGATTTTATTCCATTCTTCTGTCATGTACTGTTCAAATTCTGAAAGATTTTGAGGCATACACATTTCTACATTTCTTTTGACAATAGCCCAAAGGTTTTCAATTGGATTTAAGTCTGGACTATTGGAATAACTTCGGGAAAATTTTCATTGAGGACATTATCATGTTGGAAGCACCAATTGCTTCCAAGCATTCTATTAATTTCCTGCTTATGCCTTTGCAAAATATCAACATAAAAATTTGCATTCATGATTCCCCTGAAGCAAAAAAGAGGGGTTTTCCCTTGCATACAAAAACCTCCCCATGCAAAGATTTTAGTGCGATCTTTAGTACTGGCCTTTCACCTCTGTACCATTGAGTTATTGTGTTTCTGAACAACTGAATGGCAGTTTCGTCAGAAAATAAAGTGTTCTCACAGTTGTCTTCAAGATGTCTTGTTGCCCAACCAACACAAGCTTCTTTATGGGCAACAGTAAGCATAGGTGTCTTTAAAGGCAAATTATTTTGTAGCCTAAACTTGTCAAATGTCTTGTAATAGTCATATGAGACACTTTGTGATATTGTTTGATAATTTGTTTGACAAAGTCCTTGTGGAAAGTCTTGGATCATGGTGCAAGTATTGGCCAATCACTCTTGATTCATGTGCAGTAATTTTTTTGGGATGACCACCTCCAGATTTTCTCAAATTAACACCTTTTTCATTCAATTTTTTAAGATTATAATAGACAGTAGACATTGTAATGCCAGTTCTGGAATGTATTTCTTTTGCAGAAGTTATTCCATTCTGCCACAATTGTAATATACTTTTTCTTTGAGTATCTTTATCAGAAGATGACATAACGTTAACAATTTTACAACAAAATCAAAACAAACCAAATGATCTAATCATGTATTAATTTAGGTTAGTAGATATTGTTCACATGTTCAAAATATGACACGAATAGTTTTTATTTTCAGAATGTTATTAATGTTTGAAATGCATGAAAAATTTTCCAAATAGTTTTGTTACACCCTGTATATGTTAAATTCGTCAACTTTTGTCACAGAGAACTATATATTGTGAGATCAAAATTTCAACTCACACCAATCTCTTAGATTTGGTTAAGATATTATTTATGCCGCTTTCTGGTAGTATCCAGTTATGTAATTCTTTGATTACTTTCTTTCACTATAGCGCTCAAGCTATTTAATTATTTACAGGGCAAGT